GTGTTGGGTTGACGGTTGGACTCGATGATCTTAGAGGTCTTTTCCAATCTTAATGATTCTATGATTCTATGATTCTATGAAATACAGATATTCATTCAGAAGTAAATCCACGAAAAGCGGCCCTGCATAAATGAAGTAGTAAAATATAGAGGACTGGACGCAATTTTTCAGTGTATCAGAATGGCAAGCAGTCAGTATGGACTGCATATAGTGAAGCATTATATCAATGCAAAAGAAGCCAGACTTTATCTCTGAATGGTGACACCATATTTGCAATGGGATGAATTTTAGAAAAACCAGGTAACAACTAACAGAGGAACAGGACTCATTTCTGAAGAAAGGTAAAAGGAATCACGTGTGTGTAGGTTGACTACAGCGACTGAGGCAGGGGAAATAATAATTGCATATTCATAACCAGCAAGGAAGAGGAATTGTTTGGAGAACAGACTAAAGGAATGAAACAAAAACCCAAATGTATAAGATACTGCAAAGCTTCAACAATAATTTCCATTTTGCAAAGTTTGAAAGAGACTTGCTCTTTTTATTTATTTGCTTTTATTCAAGAATTTTTATCAAAACTGGTTATTGAGTGCCTTTATCATTTTTGTGGATTTTGAGGATAAAGTTGGATAATGTTCTTGACAAGTGATTCAAAATTAATAAAGAAAAGAAGAAAAGGCATAGAATATTTTTTTAAGTCCCCATTTTTAAATAAAACTCAGTTGGCAGGTGAGATTGCAGTGAAAAATGTAAAACGTAAGGCAGCTCTAAAGTGTAATTTCGATTTTGATTTAGTTTGTTATATGCTGGTAAAAGGAGCCTTTATTCAAGGAGGCAATGACTCTGAGAAGGGCTGTAGATGAGCATTAGCTCATGCTAGCTCATTTTTATGAGCTTCTCTTGCAATACTGGGACACAAAACAAGCCCTTAAGGCTTTGGGTTTTAAGGTGGGAGAATATGAATAGAAATAAGGAAGAAGCATGACCTCTAAACACAGCACTGGGAAGACAAAGTGGCATCCAATTTAGTGTCAGCAATTTTTAAAGTGTGTTAAGAAATTAAGAAGGTGCAGAGAAGAGCCACAAAAGGAAGCTGATGGCTAAATTTTTTTTTTTTCATTAGGACTACAGCCCTAAAGAGGTCAATCTGTTTAGCTCTGAGGGCTGATTTGATTATGATGGATAAGTACCTTCACAGGCAGAAAATACCACGTACTTAAAGGTACTTTAATCTACCAGAAAAGCCACAAGAAGTAAACAGCTGCAACTTACAGCTAGACAAACTCGAAAGGTGCATGAAGGACATTTTGAACTGTAAAGGCAATTAGCCAATGGAACAAACTGCCTTTGGAAATAGATCCTTCAAAGCAAAACCAGATGCCTTTCTGGATGAAGCTTCACCCAAACAGCTCTAACGTTCACTTCTAACCTTAGTTCTTTGAATGGTTGTGTGGTAGATAACATATTTATGGAACCATCCGACACTAACTGAAGTGTGGATACGGTGTATTTAGCAAACTACTTATTTTTATATTGCTTAATATTGTAAAGTGCTAAATATTGAATAGTGCATCTATCTCCCACAAGGAGAGAGATCAAGGAGCTTTAGTTTCTAATGCAATAGGAGAGAAATCCATCATGCCTGTACAAACTGATATCTGTCAATAAGTAAATGTCCAGGACAGTCTTACTCTTTTCTTGTTTCCCTACATCAAAACAAAACCAAGCAAAAACTGAGAACGATTAATCTCTTCAGCCAGGTTCGTCTGAGGGCTAAATACAGCTTTCCCATTTCCGCTGTCTTTAGTCTCATTCTAAATGAAAATTGGCCAAATAACCCATTTGATCCCTTCTTTTCCACGGCGTACACCGTGGTCACTGTAATGTTAATTGACTACAATGTCACGTGCAAGTTTGGCAGCCATGCTACCTCCTACCCCCCTCAAAGTATCTCTAAGCATTGGAAGTTTAATCTTTGGCACATTTTTGGTGGGAATCATTTTCATTCCGTTGCTCTGAGCAGATGCACATTTCCTGTAATTCTCCTTTATCTGCTGCCCCTCCTCTAGCAACTGCCTCCTTGAAGGCTTATCTGCTCAAGATGTAGATTTGTGCTGTAATAAAAGTGGTGAGACAGGACTGAAGTGAAAATCACAGAGCTGAAGGACGTCTGTGAGCCGATGGCCTGTTGACCTCTAATTACAGTAGGTGAATTCCTAACCCCTCTTGAAGTCAGCGACAAAATTTCATTGGCGTCAAAGGCCCAGGATTTTTCTCTTTGTACCCAGAATATTCCTAGTCCCTCTCTTAGGGATGTAGTGATGTATTAGGTATAGCATGCTTCGCTCAGTGGAGTAAGCTAAAGAAATGCATGCAGCTCGGTGCTAAGAATATACTCCTAAAAGAATAACACAAAAATGAAAACCTTTTGAAAATTTTCCAGTTGTATCACATTCCACTTCATTTTTTTATTTGGCCTTTCCACTGAAATTTAAACATATATTTTTAAAATCTCAGAATACATTTTATTTTCAAACTATTTTTTCCCTTTCTATTCCCTCAAGTATTTCAAAGCAAAAAACACAAGTCTTTCATTGTGTGTTAAAACAATTTAAAGAAAGAATTTCAGGAATACACCAGTGTCATCAAATGTAGGATTTTATTAGACACTTCCAAGGATTATATCTCATAAATGGAACTACATCACATATTTTGAAATCCTTTTTGTAAGATGCACTTTGCAGTACTTACTACCAGCACTATAGTATTAAGTGTCCTTTTCATTTTTTTTTTTAGGAAGAGAACATTGAAGAACACTCTTACTGTAAGAATGAAAGCAACTGCTTTTTCAAGCCCCACAGTAGCGCTCTCATTCTCTAAGTACTATCCGGTGACATACAACACTAAACAAACTCAATTCCCTTTACCTTGGTTTCAGCAGTTTTGACCTTGAGAGCCATGGACACATGATGAGTGAAAGGAAGTGCTGTTGCTATATTCCATATGCCAATATCAGCAGGAAGAAGCAGCTGTTTTTCACCCCAAAACCATTCTTATGGGTCAGTATAGGACAGAGTGAGGCGAGTTGATTGGATTAAAATGAATTGAGACAGAAGCCATCTGCGAGCTAACTGTAAGCTGCTGAAGAGCAAAGAGAAAATCCTACTAGCTCATTTGACGTTCGTACTTTCGTAGCTAGAGTTGGCCAAAGCATATCTCTAATATAATTTGACTATTTAGAGACAACATTATTAATATTGGTTTCTACTTTCTATTTCCTTTTTTCAGCATTCATTTGTTCACAGTTCCTTAGGGTTATTATACCTTCCTACTTTTAATTAGTTTTACAATTTCTAACATTAATTCTATTGACTATTGATGTGGAAAGGTACATTCTTCACAATGTTCTCTGCTAACATTTTTCTTCTATCACTTTATTACATCAAGTATAATTCACTTGATGTATTAGGTATAATTAGGTAAATTAGGTATAGTTAGGTTAAGAAATGCCAGACTTATGTTATGACGACTCTTCTCCTGAACCATATTTTAGTATGCTCTAGAGCAGATCCAACTTCTACTGAGCATTTCCTTAAACGATTCAGACTGACTTTTTACAGACACATTATGATTCAGTATGCTGTGTTATTTGGAAAAAGGAGATCATACAAGGGAACACTTATGAAACTGAACCAAGAATGAACCTTTTTTTTTTGCTATCACTAACATAATATGTGCAAGTTTCATTAGGGTTTTTTATGCCTTTTTAATCATACAAAATAAAAGTTATCTGCTTTAAAATATAGTCTGCACTCAGCAAACAAGAGCTTTCGCTCATGGATTCAATAGCTCCAGATTGTGAGTACCGTCAGGGAAAATACTGGTAGTATTGTGTGAAACTCCTTCCTGTGCAAAATGCTAGCACAAAAATCTGTACATCAGTTAAGTCCTATTTTGAGGGCTGAAGTGATGTCAAAGGAATAGACTGAAACAAAATTAAAAAAAAAAAATTGCTTAAACAGTTCCAATAGTCACAAGTAGCAAATTAATGAAGAAACAGTGGCTTTAGTAATTAAAAATATTTGAAAAGGAACAAAAGGTTTCATTTGAAGAGCATCCTATCTACCCCAAAGTATCAGCTGAAAACAGCTATGACCTAAAATTAATTTGCATAAACATTTGCAGTAACTCTAAGTAGCAAGATAATTGAAAAAGTAATAGATTGCATTAATGTGAGACCATTATTAAACATAACAAGAGTTTACATTCACTGACTTACTTCTTCACAAAGAGTCAATTTAACCAGACAAAGACTGAAGACAGAGCCAAAGTCACCGAGTTTGACTGAAATGTCATGGAAGCTGTAGGCATGGATTTTTTTGGGAGACTTAAGAGGTTCCTCCCATTCCTATTGCATAGTTGAAAACTTTAAATACTCTAATAGAAAGGATAATATTTCTGTTGCATCCTTCCTTCACGATTGGAAGCACCAGAATTGTGGTAACCCAGTGAACAGGAGCAAATCAAAATTGGGAGTGGCAGAAACTGTGTGTGACCCAACATACTGACTAAATCGCTCAATAGTGAATGTTAACGGAAGAGATGTTGTGTTGCTGTTCGCAAAATGCCAAGATAATGGAATAATCACTTTTTGTATTTCTTATTTTCTTCAAATTCTTTTTTACTGGGTCAGCTATAGGAAATACGACAACTCCTATTCAGCAGAGGGAGACAGAAGACAAGTTTTAATAGATGTTAAAATAAATTATCTATTTTGGTTTCAGCAAGCCCTACTTTTAAATACAGACTATTTTCTGAAGCATTACGCTACAGATTTTTATTAAGGCTATGAAGAAAAATAGTACTCCATTACTTTTGAACCCCTGGAGTTTGTGCTGGTTTGCGTTATGGAAACACCCAGGAAACAGTTATTTTGGTAGGATATCAATACCTTACCCTCACGTGTTTGAGAATAGTTCATAAATACTGTTATTTGGCATTTGGCTGTACCCATGCACTTTCTTTGTAGTGATATGTAATGGACAAGATTTAAGAGACAGTGACAAAAGCATAAGTGCAGACAATTGCAGAATGGCGAATAATTAAAGACACCTTTTGAAAGTGAAATTAAGGATACTTCTATAGCGCAGTATCTCCTTTAAGAAACTGATAATGGCACTTAATACTCTCCAGGCAATACCTAGTTCCTATCTGCTACCTGGGCCAAAACAAAAAGTCAATTTGTAATAACAAACTGTGAGAAAATTTTTATAAGAGCTTCCTGCTAAGTTTGCTGCCTAAGCTTATTACTTATGGGGTTTTTTTTAGAATGTTTGCATTTAAGCCCACAATTTATGACGCTGTTGAATAGCGTTGCAAAAATAATTAACAACAACTTGAAGAACTATATCATACAGCAATATTACATGAGTATCTCTCATGGAAGTGTCATGGTTTAACCCCAGCTGGCAACTAAGCACCACACAGCCGCTCACTCACTCCCCCCGCAGCGGGATGGGGGAGAGAATCAGAAGAGTAAAAGTGAGAAAACTCATGGGTTGAGATAAAGACAGTTTAATAGCTAAAGAAAAAGCTGCATGCACAAGCAAAGCAAAACAAGGAATTCATTCACTCCTTCCCATGGGCAGGCAGGTGTTCAGCCATCTCCAGGAAAGCAGGGCTCCATCACACCTAGCGGTTACTTGGGAAGACCAATGCCATCACTCTGAACGTCCCCTCTTCCTTCTTCTTCCCCCAGCTTTATAT